TCACCATAAAGGCAAAGCTCACTGAGGCCCTGGCACTAGGGCTACCAGATGTGATGCGAGACTTTAATCTTTTTGTTCACGAGAACAGCAGGCTAGCCCTAGGAGTTCTAATCCAGGAGTTTGGACCCTGGCAAAGACCAGTAGCCTATCTCTCCAAGCGGATTGACCCAGTTGCCTACAGGTGGCCCCCGTGCCTCAGGGCCCTAGCAGCCACAGCATTATTAGTCAAGGAAGCGGATAAGCTTGCCTTAGGACAAAACTTAAATGTAAAAGTACCTCATGCTGTTGTCACCCTGATGGAAGCAAGGGAGCAGCACTGGCTGACTCATGCTCGAATGACTCAGTGTCAGAAGGAAACCAGCTTGCTGACGCCGTAGCCAAGCTGGCTGCTAAAGAACAAACAGCCCCGGCACGGATCATGTTGGCCCCTGAATTACCTGAACCTCCAAAATACACTCCTCAGGAAGAGAAATGGACCCAGCAAGAAGGGGACAAGGGAACAAAGGAAGGCTGGTGGATACTCCCAAATCATAGGGTCTATGTCCCAGAACAGTTAGCCCATAAGGTAGTCCTTCAGCAGCATTTAGGGAAGACTTCCCTGGAAGCTTTGTTAGGCAGGTACTATCTAATTGTCCATCTACCCTCCTTGTGTGCCTCAGTCTCTCAGTGTTGCCTCCTCTGTGCTCAGAACAATGCTAACCAGGGTCCTGTGGGACCGATAGGAGTTCAGCACTGTGGGCAAGCTCCCTTTGAGGACTTAGAAGTAGATTTTACAGAAATAGGGCCTAGCAGAAGGAATAAATACCTGCTACTCTTTGTTTGCACCTTTTCATGTTGGGTCGAGGCATATCCCACTCGCACTGAAAAGGTGAGAGAAGTCACTAAGGCATTGCTGAAGGACATAATTCCACAGTATGGAATGCCTCTGACCATGGGGTCTGATAATGGCCCAGCCTTTGTAGCAGAAATAGTACAACAGGTAGCCAAGGCTTTAGGAATTAAATGGAATCTACATACTGCTTACAGGCCTCAGAGTTCAGGGAAAGTGGAGCACATGAACCGGACTCTAAAGCAGGCTATGACTAAGCTATGCCAAGAGACAAACTTACCCTGGACAGATATCTTGCCTCTTGTACTCCTGCAGGTACGCTGTGCCCCAAGGGCCAGGGTAGGTTTCTGTCCCTTTGAAATTCTATACGGTAGACCCCCTCATTAATTTGGCCAAAGGGAGATTTGGGGTAAATAGGGAACTTAGAAATCCAGAAACTACAAGGACTTGGAAAAACTGTCTTTGAGGTCCACAGGTGGGTTACTGACCAACTACCCATCTCTCTAGGAACAGCTGTACATCCTTATAAACCTGGAGACCAGGTTTGGGTAAAGGATTGGAAAAAGGAGCCCCTCAAGCCTACCTGGAAGGGACCCTATCCAGTCATATTAATCACCCCCACAGCTCTTAAGGTTGCAGGACTAAACACCTGGATCCACCACTCCCGGGTGAAGGCAGCCCACCAACTGCGTGACATCCAGCCTGAGTGGAAGGTGACCTCTGACCAGTAACACCCCCTGCGGATCACCCTCAAGAAGACAGCAGACCTGGCCTAGCAACCTGCTCCAAAGAATTCAGATAACACCCTGCTGAATTCTCCCTAACACTAAGCTTTCTTTCTTATCTCCTCCTAACGTAACATGCTCTAGTATTTCTGGATAATCACTGGTTTTATCTAATAATTCTTATTTTGTCTTTTTATGAGTGCCAGCGGAATCCAAGACTAGTACCAAGAGAACTCGTTTGCTCTTGCTGGGACACAGACGCACCATAAAATCACTGCTCCCCACACAGCAAGGAAATAAAGGCCTTATCATAAATTGTTGGATTACACCTTGTCATGCCATCCTTTGCTCCTTGCTTAGAAACTCACTACCCAAATATGCTAGACCAGGTAGTCCATGATAAAACCCAATTGAGCCAGATTTTTGTTAGCTATACTTATCAG